CTTATAACTCCACTGTTTTGGGTTTGAAAGAACGCCAGTACATCGTCATCAAAGTATGTTCAAAAGCATACTGTATGAGATTATGGTATTATTTTTGTCATCCTCCCTTTAAAGGCTTACAACTTGTAACCGAGAGCTGAATATCATACAAAATGAGGTAAAAGCATGATTTCAGTATAGTGAAAAAGAATGGATTAACTCAGGACAAACATATGCAATACATTAACGATAGCAAACAAAGTCTGACATAAAGATAAGTGTTTAAGCAAACAAAGAAATTACAACTGAAAATTCGAATAAACAAAAATTTGTCCGCCTAAACTGGTCACTTCAGATGGTGTGCCTTTGAGGGATGACAGAAAAACTCAAGTTGACCATCTTGTGTGAATTCCAACGCCCATTCGTCAATCAGGTCTTGAATCTTGTTTTTCAACACCCAACAGTGGTTAGTGTCGTGTCCAGGACTGTTGGAGTGGTATGCACACCTTTCTTTATGATTATAACAGGGAGAAGAAGTAATGGGTTTTTGAGGAGGCTCCCTCAACGTAACTAGCTTGGCTTCCAATATATCATGCAATGCTTGAACCAAGGGCATGTTGATATCGGAAAATTGTCTTCCTTGCTTATGTTGACCACCTTGTCGTGGTTGGCGAGGTTCTTGTTGGACTCTTGGTATATTAGCCATTTTGAAGGGTGTTCTCTCGACCAAACTAACTTCTTGTCTCATCAGAGGCTGATTAATGACTCGATCCACAATTCTAGTTGTTTGTTCCATATGGTTGCATCCGTCTTGATGAAGCTTGTTGACGAGGGCTCTCAGCTCTTCTTGTCCCCGAGCTATGTTTTCGATAAGAGCCATCTGACACACCATTTGTCCCATCGTCTTCACTTTCATTATTTCCATTTCAGTTTGTAATCGTTCTAACTGGTCGTTCCTGTTGTCTTCAGGATTCCTATTGGCCATGCTCTCAATGAGCAGTGCTTTCACTTCTTCTTGCCTCTTGGATAGGTTCAGGAACAACTCTTGAAGTTGAGCATTTTGGGTTTGAAGATCTACGACAGTCTGTTCTAGACCCATCTCTACTGAAATAAACAGTAAGTAGATGAGAAACCTGTATGGGGAAAACCTGTTATGATGACATGCATGATATGTGGATGCGATATTTTCAAGGATCTCGTGGGGTATACACAAGAAAATGTCATAAGTTGAACTTTGATTACAGCTTTAATTGAAGAACTTCATATTGTTGAAATGTCCTTCTATGAAAATCGAGCTCACCATGTCGAGTGGGTCATAGCCCTTGACTCAAGTTATCGTGCTTTAGTCTTTGACAACATCTGGTTAGAGGAGAATAAATCCTCTTGCCCCTTGATAGACGTCTGGTTCATCATGACCCTGCATCACATGCCCTTTGAGATCCTTGAAATGGCCAGTGGAAATGGTATGATGACATGATGTTATGTACAAGTAAACATACACAAGCCAAGGAAATAAAGTCCTTAGGTTTAGGATTGCATGGAGTCATAGGTAAATACCCTCTTGAAGGTTAGCTGGCTCAACCTGTCTAGAAAGTAATCGGGTTCTAAGGATCTCAATATCATTGATCCTTCTCCATTGGGCATTGTTTTAGCGCAAGCCTCTTTATTGGTGACCGAAATATCCCAAGAGTCAGATCTCAATGAGCGTAGTATCGAGTATCAACCAACTTCGAACTACACCAAAGCCGGCTACCTCACTACTTCTTAATGTCCAAGTTGTTCAATTAAAGGTTCTAAGGTTCGTTAGTGCTTCGCGACACCACATAGCGGCCCCGCATTCTCCTTAATTCTCCATAAGGGATATTGGTACCCACAAATATGTCACACTAACATAGCTATTGTCTCAACCATACCAGTCTACGTCATACAGTCTCCATAATTTTTCTATTTACGTAAAGGTGTCCCCAGATCCGAGTAGAGGATCAATACAAGCCCAAACAAGGACCAAAAATGTAAAGTAAACAATTCAAATAATGAAAACAATTAAATGTGATCTAGCTCTAAGGTAAACCCACTTTTAAGATATCTCCCCAGCAGAGTCGCAAGTTCTGTAATACGGTGGGAGAACTGACTTAGGTGTATTGCGTTTTATCGCAAATGTTGCAGATAGCAAGAGTCGCCACCGACTTTTCTTTTATCCAATAAGGAAATGGCGAAAAGAACAGGAAAGACCTTTTGAGATATTTTCTTGAGTTCGGGGGGTAGGTTATGAAAAGGGAAGGCGTTAGCATCCTTTTCATCCGTAATTATCTACGGGCTCTTAGTTGCTTGATCACTTTGAAAAAATGCTTTGTTTGAAATGTATTTGTGTTTGGTGAAAGTTTGAAAATATTTTGAAAATGCCTTTGTTTCGGCAAACTTTGTAATGATTCTCGTCTCTATAAGAATGTATACAAAGTGTTGGTTTTGAAAATAGTTCAAGGAGATGTTTGTTTTTGAATATTTTCGAAAGTGTAAGCGTGGAAATGGTTTTAGTTTGTGAGCAAGCAACTACGAGCGTCCTACCTACTCAAAAGGTCTTTGTTCTTTTCCTCCTCCTTTAGATGTTGCTATCTTACCATTGATTGATAAGAAGCCCTATCGTTGGATGTGAAGGGACGGGCATGGGTCAATCATATAGTCATAGAAGGAAACTTATAAGACGTTTTAGCAATTTTAATAAGGGACTAGATCGTTTACCGAAGGCAACATTGAGGGACATCGAGGGACTACAATCTTTTTTATCAAGGGTCTTTGCTAAATCGCCCATATTCGAAGGACATGACTATTTTCCGAGGCAACAAGCGAGATTACCTTAAAGGTGCGCGTGTGTGAAGTGTGTTTGATTGCATGCATTGTCTTTGAGATTAGGGTTTTCTAACGGTTGATTTTATCTTGACATACAAACCCTAATTACTAACAATTATTTGAAAAGCGATAAATTTGCGGAAATTTACATCCTACGCTATTACATCAATTTAAGGGATGGGGGTATAAGTTTACAAATGGGGAGATAAAAGCAAATAAAAACCTAATTTTACTATTACAACCAAATCAAATGAAAATAAAAGCAAAAAAGTAAAAAAAATCAAGATTTATGCTGTCTGGGCTGACCCGGGCCATATCCTATGACACGGGCACCTGTGTCAACATCCTGTAATGATCCATGTGCGTTTTTTCTTTCTGCACCAGCTAAGCTGACACGGGCACCCGTGTCAGCACCCTGAATTTCCACTTTGCATGTTTCTGGCCCCCAAAAGACTTGACAGGGTCCGTGTCCTATGCACGGGCGCCCGTGTCAGCACCCTAACCTACATATTTGTTAGATTATAGTTCCCGTAGGTCTGACACGGGTCGTGTCCTATGACACGGGCACCCGTATCAGCACCCTGTCCTGCACTTTTGTTATATTTTTTAAACAGTTGAGCTGACACGGGCCGTGTCGTGTTGTAGCGATAAAAAATGTAGCGGGGTAAATCGGAGATCGAATTATTGATTAATTCGCCTCACAAAAGCAAGAGTCGCCACCGCGCTTTATTGTTTCCAAAGGAAAAGGGAAGAGAGCGAAATAAAACCCTAAATATGCAATGTAACTAAAAATACAAATACAAAGCGTTTTTGAAAAGAGATCTTATGGTTCGGGGGTTGGTTATACAATGGGAAGGTATTAGCACCCAATGCATCTATAGTACTCTATAGGAACCTTTTGAAATATCTGTTTTGTTTAAAATTGATTGCTTGATTGAAAATAAATCGTTTTGGCCGAAAAAGGGATACGGACGGGTTTTTGAAAATGCGACGACCTAATGTCGAAGTTTTGGCTTAAAAGGTATAAGTCTTGAAAAGGTTGAAATTTTGAAGAAAGGTGAATATTTGAGGAAGAATTATCCTAAGTTTTAATGAATGAGAGTATTCGCTCGATCGTTTTTGAGGACATGAAGTCAACAAGAATTAGACAATTCCCTTTGGATTGGTGCAAACAGAATAAACAAGTACAATGAAATAATTGACAGAAAATGATACACAACAATTAAATGTGAACATGCATTTTTTAGATTTTTGTTTAGTAGGCGAAAAGAAAAGTTTAATTGGTTTTCACTTTTTTACGCATTTTTAATGATAAAAGGTAATGAGAATTAATAGAAATGTTTTTTTTAGATTTTATATGTTTCTATTTTTTTTATGTTTTTTATTAATAACACAGAGTATTATTTAAGAGTTATTAAACAATTAGATTAAATTTTTAAGCCCTTAAATTAAATCTAGTTAAAAAACTAAAATTAATAGATTAATCCTAAAATTAAACTAATAACATAAAAAAAGGGTCAAATTATTAAAATGTTTAATTATATGCTTATTTCTAGGAAACTACTGAGTCTAAATTAAATAAGTTACCTAAGAAAATGAATCAAATCTAACTAAAGAGCATATACAAGATGGAGTGAATGGCAATGAGAGCGGGCTTAAGCTGAAAAAGAAAATGGGCTTAGTTGAAGAGAGTGGAGCGGGTGAGGGAAATGGGCCGGGTCGTTGGAAGACCCAGACCCAAGAAAGAAACACCAGTGCTGTAACGAAATGAAACCCTTGGAACGCTGATGCCATGGCCGCCGCCGCTGGATCCAAAAAAAAAACCCTCCATCGCCTTTGCATCTCACCTCCAGAACGACAACAACACCACAAATCGAAACCAGAACGCAAGAAAAAAAAAGGAAACGCAGGAAAGAAAAGAAGAATCGGTGAAAGGGAGCGGTTCGATGACAGAGATGATGGTGATTTCGCTGTTTATGAAGGAAACGAAGAAAGGCTTGCGCGGAGGAGATTTTGGAAGTCGCGGCGAGTTGCGGTCGAGAAGTAGTTAACGGTAAGCCTCGATTCCTTCTCTTCTCTCTTCTTCTTCTACTTTTCATTTTCGGTGTATTCTATATTGAATTGATGTGTATTTCTGGTATTGCCATTGTTTGAACATGGTCTGTTGAGTGGGTTTAGTAGGGGTTTGGTTTTGGAGTCTTTGGACTTGTTCGTGATGTTATATTGTCAGATTCTTCAGCCATTGGTTTCTCCTCATTTTTTTCATTATGTTTATAAAATATTTTTGAAGCCACATATTCTCCATTCTTCTCATCTTCTCCAGTCCCTAGATGGTACTGATGCATTTTCCAGTCAAATTTGTAGGATTTTGACTCTTTCTCAGATCTTATATACAGAACCATTATCTTCTTATAGCCCTTATGTACTCCATCTTCTATTACAGCTTTGGTCTTACCGGTCTTGTGCCAACGTACATGATCTTCAGCCGAACCATGATGTTGAATCTTTCGACGCTTTCGTTGACCAGTACTATATGCATTCATTGTTCTGTGAAAGAAGTGAACACTACTCCCATCTTTCTTAGCACCTGGGAGATTTTCCGGATGAGTATAGCAAATGCCTTGGTCTCCTTCCAATGTTGGTATGAACTCGTCGATAAACATGTGAGGATTTGTATTACCAACACCACATTTAGCCGCTAAATGGTCTAATAGTTCTACATCAGAAGGATCAAACTTTATACCAAGCGGAAATCCAGGCCACTCATTAGAAACATCACTATTGTCTATACGCCAATGACAGTTGGGACATTCGCGATATGCGCCACAAATCCTTAATCTGATCAGCTGAAGAGAGTGTAGTTCTTTTCACTTTCTTTGCAAATCCTTCTATGTCAATAAGCCAGCTCCTAGCCATTATTGATATTCAAGAAACGAATGACTCAGAAAACGCATTCGATAGAGAGAGAGAGCGATGAATGAATGAAGTAGAAGATAGAGGAGATTGGGAAATGTTTTAAAAAAAGAACTCAAGTGCAGTGAGTAGAACTTAGGAAGAGATGGCGTGGTGAGGTAGAAGGTTGAGAATGAAGAGGTAAACGTTTTCAATTTTTATTTTTTCACTTCACTTCCTACTCTGGATATTCCATGGTTGTTATTAACGTGGCTACTAATTTGATTTTTTTTTAGGGATTATATTTACTGAATGCAAAACAATGATAAATGGAGATAAATGGTATAATTTAACTGACATGAAAAGAAACTACAAACCAGGTATGTTCCTTCTGAAAATAGTAGGCTTTCTTATTGTCCAGCTGCAACTTCGTTATATTGACGTCAATGTCGTGTTCTTTTTTCCTGAAAATTTCTGGTGTGGCACAATTTTGTGGTTTTGGTTTCTAGTCTATTATTTAGCAGATAACAGGTTCAGCAGTATGCAGGTTGTGTTTGGAAATGGTTTGTATGGGTTTTGATGTAGGTTCTATGTAGTGATATGCCATGGTTTTGATGGTAGCAGTGGGCTATGTTTTTTGATAGTTTTGTAGTGATTCTGTTTTGCAAAACATGCTATGGTTTTGATGGTAGCAGTAGCAGGTTATGTTGAAAAATGCTAAGGTTTTTGCTTGGTAGCAGTAGCAGGTTATGTTGAAAAATGCTAAGGTTTTTGCTTGGTAGCAGTAGCAGGTTATGTTGAAAAATGCTAAGGTTTTTGCTTGGTAGCAGTAGCAGGTTATGTTGAAAAATGCTAAGGCTTTTGCTTGGTAGCAGTAGCAGGTTATGTTGAAAAATGCTAAGGTTTTTGCTTGGTAGCCTTGTATATATTTATGCAGGCTCAGACTTATCCTTTTTTGAAGGAGTTCCCTTCTCATATGACCGTTGGTTCTTTGCTCATGGCTCAGGTCTGAATATAGTTAATATATTTTCCTGATGTCCTGCATATATGCTGCTTCATATGTTTGACTTTATTCCCAATTCATGCTTAAATCAAAACCTGCAAAAACTAAACCTCTTCTTCTCTCTACCTCAAGTACAAAACTGATATATGAAAATGATATTTTGTACTGCTGTCTGAAAAAGTAATAGGCTGGAATATGATGAAAAAGGAAATATAGGTTGCTTGCATACATGGTTTTAAAATTGCACATGTTTGAAATTGCATATCTCTCCTTTGCAGGTTAACGTTGGCTTGTTGTTTGTGAACTACACATGCTGTTTTGTATGGTTTATGCAGTTTTGAAATTTATGCATATTTGAAATATGCAGTGGGTTTTTTTGATAAAAATGCAATTGATTTTGAAATGTGTTATTTTTTAATTGTGCATTCATTTAAAAATTCCTCTCTTTTTTGTGAACCGGGAGAAATCCCGTGATTTGCAAAAAGAGTAACTGATTCCGGCCATTGCTTTTAATGATGAACATTGAATTTATTTTCTGCATTTTAATTATTTATCCGAATTCTAATTTCTTTCTTTTAATCGTTTTTTTTTTGCAGGTAAAATTTAAATGAGCAGACAAAGAGTATTGGATAGAAGATTAGAATTAGACTTTAGGAAAATAGTTTTATTTTACTTTAAGCATTTATGTAATGGTTATTATAAATACTTTGTACAATAGTATTTAAACAACAATTGTAATAAATAGAATAAAGTGAATAAAAATTCTATTATTTCTCAATTAATTCCTTTTCTTTCCAATTATTTATTTATTGTTTATAATTCCTTAAATCATATAATGATTGAAAATCAAATCCAATCATTTAAATTCAGAATGACAAACAAATAAATAAACATCATTGACTAATCAACAAATTCAACTATTTAATTCATTATTCGTAAAATTCCAAATTATAATAATTAAAAATAGAATTTTAATTATTTAATCTAAAATGATAAAGAATTAAATAATCATTGTTGACCAATTAATAAACTCATTCTCAAATGCTTATTTCATTATTCATAAGTCTTTAAATTATATAACAATTGAAAAATAGATTCCAATTATTTAAATTTAAGATAATAAATAATTAATAAACGTCATTTAAATCTTGATCAGTTAATAAATTTAGCGTTCAACAAATAAACAGCTCCCGACTCGAAAAAGTTATGAATTTTTAAACTGCTTTGAAAATTTGATAAAATAGGTCAAAACTCTTGCAATGCGAATGATGCAGATGGAAGACGGTATCTTAGGTCAAAATTTGGGGTACAACAGCTGCCCCTATTTAAGTTCCTTCTATCCGGAGATATGAAGATTAAAGTCTTCGTCTCGACGAGATTGAAGGTACTTAAATACATAATTACGCAAATTTTGTCCTATGATGCCGTCATCATGCGGTGATATGAATGTAGTGTTGAATTCACAGAGAAAGATATTGTGTGAAACAAGACAATGATGGGGGAATCGAACACCAACAAAACACAAAGACATGAATTATACGCTACTGGGGAAACAAGCTATCGACTTCCAACGACAGACTCCTGACAGCGAATAAAATTGAGGGAATACGACGTCTAACCCTAACAAAGAGAGCATCTTGCATAAGCCGTAACAAATCATCGATCCAACACAGTGAATTCGCAACTCGAGGTCGACGATAGACAGAGAGTATCAAATTGCGGATAACTGATTGCCGACTTCTGGAGGTATAGATTCGTACCAAACTTCTCTGCGAGATTTCAGAGGTATACTCATTAATGCTGAGGTAATGAGACTGTAGATACGAAGGTTGTTCAAATAAAGAAAATTGCCAGTTGTTGTCGTCCACAGAAAATACCAATAACATACAAGCTGCTCAAATAAAGAAGCTGCCGCTTGTTGTCGTCCGACGAAAATACCGATAACAAACAAGCTGCTCAAATAAAGAGGCTACCACTTGCTGTCGTCCAAAGAAAATACCAATAACATACAAGCTGCCCAAATAAAGAAGCTGCCGCTTGCTGTCGTCCAGAAAAGTAATAACGTACTGGTAACTCATGAAGAGTTTGCTGCTTGTCGCTTTCAGAAAAAATAAAAAAAAGACGCACTAGTAACTCATGAAGAACTACTGCTCGGCGCTTCAGAAAATAAATAACGCACTAGTAGCTCATGAAGAACTGCTGCTCGGCGCTTCAGAAAATAAATAACGCACTAGTAGCTCATGAAGAACTGCTGCTCGGCGCTTTCGGAAAAGATAAAAAAAAGACGCACTAGTAACTCATGAAGAACTACTGCTCGGCGCTTCAGAAAATAAATAACGCACTAGTAGCTCATGAAGAACTGCTGCTCGGCGCTTCAGAAAATAAATAACGCACTAGTAGCTCATGAAGAACTGCTGCTCGGCGCTTTCGGAAAAGTAATGACGCACTAGTAGCTCATGAAGAACTGCTGCTCGGCGCTTTCGGAAAAGTAATGACGCACTAGTAGCTCATGAAGAACTGCTGCTCAGCGCTTTCGGAAAAGTAATGACGCACTAGTAGCTCATGAAGAACTACTGCTCGGCGCTTTCAACAAGTAAACGTACAAGTTGCTCATGAAGAGCTACCGCTTGTCGTTTTCCAAAATAATTCGGAAGGAAACTGCGATGATATTGGTAGAGAATAAGATCTTCATCAAAGAGAACCCTGAACCAATCCTTCTCGAGGAGATCAAACACTTTAACGTGCAAAATAAATGCACCAACTGCCTAGGTCGCGATTTCACTGGGGAAAATCAAAGAGATAGCCTATGCAAGAGGCAGCAACTTCATCCAGGGACAGCCTAGGAAGAAAACAGTCAAACAAGACTCCACCCGATGAGAAAGTAACTCAATTGGGGAATTTAGAGAGGAAGCACGTTTTCTGCCTAAGCTAACTTTCTACCTGGAAAGAACATATGTACATTGTTCGAACAAACAAAGCAAGACTCAAAAATCAACGGCAAATGTGGATATGCATGCTGATATGAGTGTAGATGAATAAGTGAATGTTATGCTGACAAAACAGACAAATGAAATATCTTGGAGATAATGAGATGTCACAGCGAAATAGATACTCGGCCAATCTTGAAAAGACGGACGATAAACGGAACTGGAAACACACAGCAACGTCAGAGGGTACCATGCTACAAGGTCCGAATCCTCCGAGAAGAAGGACATCCAAATCCAAACTTCTACCATTAATAGATCACGGTATGAGACGAAACGTACTAAATTTCAAAAGTCGCCCCGATTGAGACAGCCAGAACAAAGCTCAATGGGAACAGCTGGAGAGTCACCAAACTTAGTACCCCGAAAAGAAACACAAGTCAACACAACCAACCCCCTCATGACGATAAATTGAAATAAAACAGGCTCATCATGCACGAAGAAACCGCTACACTGCTTTGCATTTCATGGCTTGACCATCTTTGGAAACAAACCGTCAATATTCCTTTCGCTATTCACAACACATTTCTAGAATAAGGACATTTAAGTAAATTTGTTTCAAGTATTTTCCATAAAATTGAAATTTTGCCCACAAAAGGTAAATGCTCAAATTTCATTAATGAGAGGTTGTTCGCTAACAATGCGACTCCAACGGTTTACAAAGCCTTGGGGAAATAGTACATGAAATAAAAGGTCACACAAAAGCAGTGATCGCTATTCTCCCTAACAACTTTGAATTCCAGAATGTGTTCAGATGCTGAAACTGATTTGACCAGAAATTTTCTTAAGCGAAATACTTCTTGACTGCATCGGCGTTCAAGGGACGCGGGAGGTCTTCGCCATCCATATTGGCGAGAATCATGGCACCTCCAGAGAAAACTTTCTTAACAACATACGGTCCTTCATAGTTAGGAGCCCATTTGCCCCTAGAATCAGGTTGGAAAGATAATATCTTCTTGAGCACAAGGTCACCTTCTCTGAACTCGCGCGGTCGAACCTTCTTATCAAAAGCCTTCTTCATTCTCTGCTGATACAAC